ATATATATATACACACACACACACATATATATACGTGTGTGTGTGTATATATATATACATATACCCCGCGCCCATTGCAGACGCTCCTTTGCAGGGGGAGGGACCGGGGGGCGCCTTCCCCTCCGCCTTGTCCGATACCTAAAACGCCCCAAACAAACTTTTCTCCCCAAAAACGGTCCAGATGCGGAAAAAAAGACCTTTGGGGGGAAGAAACGCACCGATAGGGACTGAACCCCGCTTCGTGCTGCAGGTGGGCTCACTTGCCTGCCCTCCCAGCTCCCAAGCCAGAAGACTACAATTCCCATCGTTCTCGCCTGTGCCGCTGGAGTTTCCTGGAGAGAACTGGGATAAGCCTTAGTTGCTTTGATGTCCTGTTCCCCCTCTTTTTGGGGGGGAGATGCTTAATACTAAACTCATCTAAGTTAAATATTTCCATTATAGCTATGATATCTTGCATTTAGCTTTTTAAAGTGTTTTGCTTTTTTCGCGTGGCATTCGGTGCTCGTGCAAAGAATACAGTGATGATTATTTTAATGTTTTTTATGGTGATTTTAGGGTGCCTTGCTGAGTCCCGTGAAGCAGCCGGAGCAAGATGTGAGTAGCCGGAACCAGAGAGGAAAATATTTTAGAAAAGGAAACTGTGAAGGATTCGGCTGTGAACGACGAATGCGTTTTTCACACATTTGTGGGTTTGATCGAAAAATGACGACCCTGCAAAGCCTGCGGAGGATGACATCACACTTAACACAGAGGGTGACCCTCTGTTTTCCCATATTTTCCCCCTTTTTTGGGCTGCCCCGATCTCTTACTCTTTTCCCAAAGTCCTAGCAGCAAAGCAAGAATACTGGCTGGAAATAAACTAGGGTTTAGGGTGGGTGAGTCTTCTCCCTTCAAGGTGGAGTTTGTTTAAAGTTGTGTGCTTGGCTTTACAGGGGGTGGGGCTGAAGCACGGGGTGGGTGGAGCCTGAAAGAAGGCGGGGTCACCCACAACTGGGTTCCCACAACACGATTAACCAGGTTACCGCATACTAAGGGGACTGAGATGTGCAATGTAGCCTGGTGGAGTGTGCAAAAGTGCCAAACAAGGTTGCAAACACAATTAACCAGGTTACCGCATACTAAGGGGGCTGAGATGTGCAACGTAGCCTGGTAGAGTGTGCAAAAGTGCCAAACAAGGTTGCAAACCTGGATTGTTCTGACTTGGATTCCAGGTCAGGACCCAGCAACGGGAAGTCCGTTTCTCAGGTCCCCAAGAAACTGGTGAAGGCGAACCCTTTGAAACATTCAGGTGAGTTTGTGCAATCGAATGTCTGAATGCGGCGTGCAATTCCCCGGTGCTTGGGAGTTTTGCCCTCTGAACCACGGGCAGATAAAAGGGGCCACAAGCCGCGTGGGGGCTGCCCTAAAGTGTGGCAACGTGCCCTATTCACGATTCTGCAAAAAAAAAACCCCAAAAATGCACCCTCCTTCCAGTGCTCGCCATTGGCGAG